ACACACACACACAGACAGACACACACACAGTCACAGTTGTGTTGTTTTTCAGGTGGCCGTCACAGGAGCTTGAATCCAGCTGCTCTGTTCAGGTACTGAGCTTCAGTCTCAGGTTCAACATCACGTTTAGAAACATGAGAATCAACCACAATTCAAATCACATGTACACAATGTGTTGTGTTATTTTAACACCAGTCTAATGAAAAGTTATAATATAACAGTAATATAAAAGTTTTATTTCACTGATTTTGAACAGTTTGTCAGTTTAACAAACACCAGAGTAAAATACTGATCCTCACATTAAGAACAACACATACTGATTCAGTCTTAGCGCTGATGCATTAATGAGTCAAATGATAAAAGAGGGAACAAGACACATGTCAGTTTTTACACTGGAAAAAATCTGGATGATATTTGTTCCTGTTTTCTGACATTTACAGTTTAAACCATGAGAAAATACAAAGTTAAGATGAAGGAGACAAAACGAACTCCTTCCTTCCTGTTTTGCTTCTGCACAGAAAAGCCGACTCCTCCTGGTGCGATGGAGCTCGAGGACTTTTTTCCCGTGGTGGCGGTGCAGCGGCCGAGCAGCTGACACTGGAGGACATCGCCAAAAACATCAGAGAGCGGCGGCACAAGCGGGTGGTGGTGATGGCCGGAGCTGGGATTAGTACCCCAAGTGGCATCCCTGACTTCAGGTACAAAGTTTTCATGAGTTCTGCTCCTGTCACATGTGGTGTTTCTATTAATCTACTGTGAAAATCCGGCGTGTTCTCATTCCCTCACAGGTCTCCAGGCAGCGGTCTCTATGACAACCTGCAGCAGTACGACCTGCCCTACGCAGAGGCCATATTCGAGATTGGCTTCTTCCACCAAAACCCTAATCCCTTCTTCGCCCTGGCCAAAGAGCTGTATCCAGGAAACTACCAGCCCAACCTGAGCCACTTCTTTGTCCGTCTGCTTCAGAAGAAGGGTCAGCTTCTCAGGATGTACACGCAGAACATTGACGGACTGGAGAGAAGTACGTATCTATGGATTCACCACACATCGCTGATGTTGTCTACAAGCTCATGATCTCTTCCTTGTGTGTGTGTGTGTGTGTGTGTG